ACTATAGAGATGGGTTGGGGTAGAGAAACAAACTATAGAGATGGGTTGGGGTAGAGGAACAAACTATAAGAGATGGGTTGGGGTAGAGAAACAAACTATAAGAGATGGGTTGGGGTATAGAAACAAACTATAGAGATGGGTTGGGTTAGAGAAACAAACTATAGAAATGGGTTGGGGTAGAGAAACAAACTATAGAGATGGGTTTGGGTAGAGAAACAAACTATACGAGATGAGTTGAGGTAGAGAAACAATCTATACAGATGGGTTGGGGTAGAGAAACAATCTATAGAGATGGGTTGAATCCTGAAGCCGCCCTTGTCTGTTGTCTGAAACAGGCAAGAAAACATTTCTAGATTTGTTTCTACTTTACAATATTCCCCTGTATTAGCATTCAAATGTATTCTTTTATCTGTATATAAATATTCCTTTTATTATATACCTAGCTTGAAAATTAGTATTCAGACATGGTTTTACTAAATCAATGCACCTTTCACTATACATATATATACAAACAAAATATAAATACATCTATATATAAATTTGGCTTGTCTGGGTGTTTGGGTGTCTGTTTGTTTGTTTGTATCCAATAAACGTCAAAACTGCTGAACCGATCGGGCCCAAATTTTTTGTGGGACATCACGTGACCACAGGGAAGTTTTATGAATGATAAAACAAACAAAAAATGTCTTTTAAAGGTTTTTAATTTTGTAAAAAAATTTAAATTCTTGAAAATCCGCGGTTTTTTTTTAAAAAATCCGCAAAATTATTTTCTTCTTTGTTTTAAAATGTAATCAAAAAGAACATGTTCACAATTTAAATAGAAGATGGGCGCGAAGCGCCCTAAATGCCTATCATTTATATACATAAATATATTTATTTATAGTCATAACCAGAAATAATAGAAAGACGACTTTAAGACTTTTAATAGTTCAACGAGCTTGGGACACAGACACAGAAAACAGACATATTTCACTTAATTAGTGATTTGATAAGTGTCTGGTAATTTTTTTTTGCTTTGTAACAGCCTAAAATACACATAAGTATTGTAATGAAGTCGTCTTCCTATTTCAGAGTTTTCTGGTTATCACTGTATATTTATAAATTATATGTTTTGCGCAAATGAAGATCCAGTTTGAAGAGGCTGAAACATGTCCCTCTATTTACATAGATACGTACTTTAAACCTTTATCTGATCAAAAATACGATAGAATAGTTTTCATATATATGTAGTTAAAAATGTAGTTTGAAACGTTCTAAACTCTGTTTCCAGTCTCTGCTCCACAAAACAATTTAATTTTGGCATTTTAATATTTCGTATCCTTCTTTCAAGGAATTGATTTATACATACACATGATATTACTTTATAGATATTATTCAGTTGGTACAGACCAATCTTAATACAGAAATATCAAGATACACACTTGATACACACAGTTGTTTATTTGTTGATATTAATCATCAGATATAGACTAATCACAATATCCTTTTATACCAATTTATTTTAATATATATAGTTTAAAATTGGAAAAAAGGCATTTTCATACCTACTGCCACAAATACGTAAGTTCTTGGCTAACCTATAGTAAAAAATTACAAATTTGAGAGATGGAAAAAGAAGAATAATTTTTTTAATTTTTAACACACGAAGGTGTACCGAGGTCATGCAATTTAAACGGATAAATGAAAAGTGTTACCTTGAAAACGGTAAAAATAACATATGATATTTGAAGATTATCTCTAAATTATTATCCAAAATGTACTAGCAATAAACATCCTATTTATACCCCCACTGTCCAGTAAATCTAAAAAGTCTAGTATTTATGTATGTCTGGTATTCATACCCCCATATACTGTCTAGTAAATCTAAAAAGTCTAGTATTTATGTATGTCTAGTATTTATACCCCCCATATACTGTCTAGTAAATCTAAAAAGTCTAGTATTTATGTATGTCTGGTATTTATACCCTCATATACTGTCTAGTAAATCTAAAAAGTCTAGTATTTATGTATGTCTAGTATTCATACCCCCATATACTGTCTAGTAAATCTAAAAGTTCTCCATTTCTAAATATTAAAAGATCAAACACTCTTTTTCAAATTTATGTGAGCAAATGGAAAAATCTTAAAAAGCACGTTTTCTTCAAATAAATGACATGTAAGCTGCACAGTGGTATGTAATTATAACAATAACCATACATTCATATCTTAAGTAGTAATCTTGGTTTGTTTTAATGTTTGATCATAACTCATGAACTCTGTGGCCGATTGGCTGCAAATTTTGATTGGATAACTCGGTTTAACCACATGAAATTTGTTGCAGGCTTGTAAAATCATTCTAATTTGGATGAGATGGCTAATGATTTATTTCCAGGAAAAGCTGGGTTCCATAAGCTACAGTAAAGGTATGATGTCAAAATTAAATAAAAAATTCACTCAATCTGAGGTTCAAATAAGAAAATATAAAATTCTATTAAAAGTAATTTTAAGATTTATTTTCAATGATTTTTTTTTTATTTCCATCTAGGATTTTATTATCTTAACTAAAATGGGAAAATATGCATAAATGTAAAAAAAACAAACGTAATTGGAAGCAATATCCATTTGACTGAATATATTATAATGAAAGGAAAATATACCAGGCCTATTCAAGCCTTTCTTGATTTCAGGAGATAAAGTATGATTTTAAATTAAAGGGAATGTAAGCGTAATTTCAAGTGACATTCCAGGCAAAGAAGGCCATATCGGTCCGTTCAGAAAAAAAACGATTGATGAAAATGAAAACATTATCGCCTTTTAATAGCGAACGAAAAAACAAAACAAAAAATGAGTGATTTTAAATCGTTCGAACGAACTTGAAAGACTATTATTTTTTACTGGACAAGTGATTATTTGGAACAATCGTTCAGTGAGAAAAAGAACGAAAAAGATGAAAAATAAATGATAAATTTTAGAACAAACGAAATAATTTTTTTTGAATGATGAACGAACAAAATAGGGTTTTCACGAAGTATGAACGAACGAAATAAGTTGTTTACGAAGTATGAACAAACAAAATAGGTTATTCAAGAAGTATGAACGAACAAAATAGGTTGTTTACGAAGTATGATATAAACAAAATAGGTTGTTCACGAAGTTTGAACGAACGAAATAAAATTCCGAACGTGCCCATCTCTACCTTTAACCCTTGAGCTTTTTTTATCAAAAACCAGCAGTAGGTAGTTCAGGTATTTCAGGTAGCTTAGGTAGTTCAGGTAGTTCAGGTAGTTCACGTAGTTCACGTAGCTTAGGTAGTTCAGGTACTTCAGGTAGTTCAGGGATGTTTTCACAATGACCCCGAGGCAGAAGCCCAAAGGAGTTACGCGCATACCGCGTTGAATGACAAGACTGAGAGAGAGTATTTGCGTAACTCCTTTGAACTTTCTATAGATGTAAATAGCCCCAAAATCAAAATTTGGGTTATATGTCATTTTTTCCGTGCGTCTTTTATCTTATTTACAGAAAAATCAACATAAAATAAGAAAAAAATTTTTATTGGTGCTCTAAAACTGTCAAATTTACTAAATAAAACAAGTTCAATTTCAGTCACATCTTTAATCTTTGTTAAAAAGTTTGATTTCAATTGAAAAATATCATTTTATTTAGCAAAAACGTGCGTTCTTGCGCCGCGCAAGAACGCATGAAAATGACACTTTAAAAAAAATTGGATAATGTATGTCATTTCCTTGCGCCTGTGCGTTTCCAGTCACATCTTTCAGCTTTGTTAAAAAGTTTGATTTCAATTGAAAAATATCATTTTAT